GAAAAACTGCCTGTTTTTCCCTGTTTTTCTAAGCTGTCGATTAGAGAAGGGGACAGTCAGCTAGCTGACATTTTATGACCTCTAATGGGGTGTCCTGTCAAACTCGCCGACCTACTCCCCAAAATAGGGTTCAGACCTCCCTCCCCCCTCCCCCCACCCCCTTGGTTGCACCACTGCTTCTATGTACAGTATACTCCTAAGGCCGTTTCACATTTAGCATGTGACGCGTGCGATTTCGACACGCATGCGGCTTGCGTTTCTGCATGCGTCCAAATGCGCTCGAATGCAAGGAAACACGCTTATACATGGCATGCTCTCACGTATTTGGGTCATTTCACAGATTTAGGGACAACATTTTCAAAAAGAAAAATCCAAAATTTGACGCTATTTAAGGAGGGGCAATCCAATACATCACACTAAAATATAGATTCTGATTAATAAACGAAATTCCTATTCAAAACGTAGTGATTACGATTCCTTTATACTTGTGAAGGCGTGTGGGCTCGTACTCGTACACGCGTATTCCCTTGCATTCGAGTTCATGTGGACGCATGCAGACGCATGCCGCATGCGTGTCGAAATCGCACACGTCACACGCTAAGTGTGCCTTTAGGCATAGGGTTAGCGATCATCAACTTTTAGTTTTCCATCCTTGTCATCCCTTTGAACTTCCAAGGCCGATTAATCTCCTTGCATGTGGGCTCTTGGGTACCCATTGATGATGTCATGTTCATGCTTCCATTTCTCGGAAAGTGAGTCATGGGTAGGGCCCCGGGCTTCGCCTGCCCTTTTATGCACCACGTTTCTCATTTACACTTCTCCGTTGCTTTGCTATCTTCTTTACTTTTCTTCCCTAATGTTTCTTGGCTTTTTCTTCCAACTGTGGTCTGTTATTCAATTAGAAAGGGAAGAAAATTCCCGGTGTGTTATTATGTTTCCTTCTCAGGACATTCTCCCGTGGAGTTCACTGGCACGTTGTATCTTGTCAATATCTCTGTTTCTTTTTTTTTTCTTGAGACCTTGAGGCTATTCCCAGTATGGGACAACATTTTAAGATGTATAAAAAAGTCGTGGAGTATATAGGAAGGCCTTGCATATCTGAGCGATTGGAAGCATACTGCCCAGGTGGAAACAGTGCAGTATCTAAACGGACGTAACATGCAGGCATCCACATTTTGAGCCACTGATGCCGAGATTTTCGCAGCTGGTGGTAATCCAATAATCATAATGTGTAGTAATGCGGACAAAAAGCTCTAATAGCACTACTACCCCTCCCACAGGTTTGTTGGCGGCGCAGGCACATGTCTTCTCGACGGCTTTCAGGGCAGACTTGGTTGAAATTCAGCAAACAAAATCAGCTAATAGCGAAAAAAATCAGCTAATAGGGCGATTTATTTACTTTATGAACATGGAAACTATTCTGGCTACGTTGATTCTGTTGAATAGATATGTCTACTTCCTCCAAACACCCAGTTTAAAATCCCAACTGGAATATTCCAGCTGGACCAAATCTGTAAATTCGGACCATTTCCAGCTGCCAAAGAGCTGGAATAGGTACCAGTTGTTTCTTAGCTGGAATTTTCCAACTGGAATGCAGCTGGTTTTAATAGCTGTTTCCAGCTGGAAATTTTCTAGTTGGAATTTTATAAAGAGGAGCCTACAGTTGGAATGTAGCTAAATTTACAGTTGAAAATCAGCTGTTCCTGTAGATGGACCTCTGACAAAAATAGTCAACAAAAAGATTCTTTCAGCTAGTGATATAGCAATTAGGAACAAATCTGGAGATTACTACTTTCTAGCTGTTACCCAGTCCGAATTTACAGCTGGAGTCCAGCTGGAAATGATAGCTGTTTCCAGCCGGGATTTTAAACTGGGCAGGAATAAAAATGAAATATCATTGGTCGCATTTATCATTTATCTTTTGCCTATTGTTCATTGTGATCGCTAACAATAACCTCTATAAAAATCTTTTCTTTTGTTGAGTGAAGCTGGACTGGGAAGTAGCGGGGAGAATAAATCTACTGCGGGGGGGGGGGGGGGGGGGAAANNNNGGGGGGGGGGGGGGGGGGGGGGGGGGGGGGGGGGGGGGGGGGGGGAAACACTGGCTTCCATCCGGTATACGGTTCCATCCGGAAAGAATATTCTGGGGGAAAGAATATACAGTGACACCGGCACAGCACCGTGTGAGTGGCCTGGCCGTAGGCACGGAGGAGCAACTATGAGTCACTCCAAGGAAGCCTTGGCGCGAACCGACTCCCCTAGGTGTCATGCTTGACCTTTCACCCTTGACCCCAGTCAACAAGCCCTCATTATGAACATTCTCGACATAATTAGTCCTCTGCCGCCTCTCTCACTATTTCGTACTGCTAATTAGAGACTAGAGACAAAGGCATGTGCCTGGAAAAGAAGGCCCATGCCCTGGGACCGGACCCATCTGTGGAATGAGGTTTCCCTCTTTTTTTTTTTCAACGAGAAGCTCTGAGCTGGATGCGGCTACTCATAAAAATGTTCATGGACGATCTTCTATGCTTAACTCTCCTTGAGGTGTGAATACCTATCTTAAGTCCTTCCCATCCTCCCTCGGAATTAGATATTCCCAATCTTCTCGTCCCATATTCCCTCAGGATTGGATATTCTCGATCCCCCTTCCCATCTCCCTCGGGATTAGACATTTCCGGTCTTTCGTTCCATTCGCCCCTGAGGATTAGACATTCCCAATCTTCCATCCTTTTCCCCTCGTGATAAGACATTCTTCACCTACCCTCCCTATTTTCCCGGTGATTGACACCAACTACTGTTGAAATGGGGGAAAGACGCTTCGGCACGTTTTACACAATTGATGCAGAGTATTACGGGAGTTTCTTTCCTTACCTGTAACGGTTCGGTTGCTGTTGCCTGTAGGAGTCACCGATCAAGAGTACTTCTTTGACCTGTATGGAGTTCCTTTTGGTGTTTTTCCTTTTTTGAATATTATTCAACCACGTCCCGTTTCTTTACTTTCGCCTCCAGAGTAACCTAGAGTTGCAGTAATCCCAACCATTGAGTTGTGATTCTCAGAACCAGTCAACAAGAAAGCATCATACCGGCACGCAGAACCGTAACAATATTGACATCCCGAGTCTCTGTGAAACACTCATTCTAACTCCTCACCTTGGTGCTAAGACAGGCCCACTCCTCTAAAGATAAATGTTTTTTTTTGGGTGGAAGGGTCTCAGCCACTTCCTTAGCCACCAGTGGCGTAGCGACTGGTGGAGGGAGGGGGGGGGGGGGGGGGGGGGGGGGGGGGGGGGGATAGGCGAAAGGGGGGGGGGGGGGGGGGGGGGGGGGGGGGGGGGCAGGGGTGATATGCGAAAGCATTACCCTGTACGTGTCTTCAGCGTCGAAGAAAGCCCCAATTTAATTTCTTATCTAATATATATAGACAATCGTTTTCGTCTTGCCAATGAGGTTACACAACAGGAAGTAACTTGACAATATAGTAAGAAACTCTTAAAAACCCAAGATATTTTACAACATTGGTCGCAAGCCAACGTTTCAAATGCATTTATCATTTTCTTAGATCGTAGAGCGCCGAAGGCGCGAAAATGATAGTTGTTTGCCCGAAGGGCAACCAAATTCGCTGTAATATATACTTTCGTCCGATATAGTGCGACTCTCATGCTTTTCTGCACGTAACACGTAGCAACAATAAAGATTTCTGCCATGTTTATAAAAATTTAAATCTGTGCTTGAGGTTCAAAAGCGTTGTCTGGTTGAAGTACCAAAAATCGATGTGAAGAAGCAATTCGCACATGACTCCTCACCAAATATGTCACATTGACCCTCTCCAACATGGCAGAAAAACACAGGTGACAGGCGAAGATATTGGTTTTTGATGCACCTTACCGCCTGTTACCATAGATCTGGTTGCGCTTTAGGCAAAAAATTTTTTTATTAGAATTTTTCCACTGGGCCTAAATTAATCTCTGTTGTTGGTAGGAGATATTTAAAAAAAGGCACCCTTTAAAAAAATGTGAAGCAATCATACTTATACATGACAGGAATGCATGAAAGACGACTTAATCTCTGAGACTGCCTGACGTCTGCGTTCAGCAAGCATGCCTAAGTGAAGTAAGTACCTGAGAAAGTTCAATGAATAAATCGCTTCTTCATTGCAACTTTTTTTTACTCTTGTTTCGAAAATCTTGAAGTAGCGATTGAAATCTTTAAAAACTAACCAGAAGCTTCCCCTATTCATCTGGAATGTCATATAAGAAAAGCACGAGCCTCTAGCAACGTCAGATGGAGACATTACAAATAAAACCTTTTCCGAGGTATAGCATGTCTGCTTGAATCATGCCACGAACAATCACCCCTCCCTATATCGTTTCTCTCATCTCCATTTCCTTTCTCTTTTCAAATTGCCTCGCGGGCCATGCAAAAGCACACCGTGGGCCACACTTTAAGCATCCCTGCACTACATCGTCACCTATCTCCTTCCACGAATTCGCGACTCGACAAGCTAAGATGAAGTCATTCTGCAACACGAGTTTCACTTGAGACGTGACTTGATCTGATTCCCCCGTATAATGTTATCATCAAGCAGAAAATACCTACTACGTTCCACGTTATCGATACTCTTCATGAAATTATATGCCTGGATTAAATCCAGCCATTTAACACTAGTTAACCTCCGCCCCATCGAATACAGCCCCAACAACACGTCGTTCATGTGTTCTTCCCTCCCTCATCATTTTAGTGGTCTGCTTCTGAATCCTCTTCAGGACCATGAAAGCCCATCAATAACAATGAAAGAATAATGTTCGAGCCCTTCGTGGCAATCGAATGTTGGATTGTGTCTAAAATGCATTGACTTTTAGCTCGCCTGTGTATGCTCGGAGAACGTAAGCTCCTTTTCAGATCCCAAGTCTCTCTCCTCGTTCCACTCCTTCAGCTTCATCTATTATATCCGTCACCCAAACGTCATATTCGAGCAAATCGGTAAGACGATCACGTCACCTTCAAAAGCCGTGCTGAGATTCCCGGATGAGTCGAGTTCTTTTCCCAAGAGATTCTGAAATACGCCCCTTGAAAATGCTTTTCATGAGTTTCCCCATAATGTTCGTGAGATCGGTCTGCCTATGATTCCTCGGATTGCTGTAATCTCCCTTAAAGATCGGTTCATGTGCGAGTTTCCAAACTCTAGGAGCTTCCCAGCGCAATATGATGTTCTTAAAAATGAGCAAGAGCACCGTCACCCCCTGAATTTCAGGTGCACCATACTTTCTCATATTTGCTAATGACGATAAATTTCCTCAATCACAACATAAATGAAAGACTGAATCGGTGCCCGTTGTCCCGGAAAATCTCTTGTATATCAGCTTCAAGAAGTGGGAAACTTTTGCGATCGAATTGATAACAGTTCGTAGCAGTTAGAATGTTGAATATTTTCAAGTGGGCCAGCTAAAACTCTTCCGTCCGCAATTTAATGGTATGTTCTTACTAATGAAGACGCGCTTTTGCAATTCGTAAGATAAATAACACCACCTTTCCATGATCTAATGCATCTATTGCAAGGAATTAACACATGGGTCATACATATTGCCTTTTATTACAGCGTGAGTTATATAAAATAATCGCAGGTGTATGAGCATTATTTCCTTTCCAGTACTAAAATAATTAAATTAGTAGTTCCGGGAGATCTCGTCAGCGGTGGGCAAGGCTGATAGCAATTGTCGAAGCAGATAGAGGGCACATCAACATAGCTTTCGATAATTTTACTTAGGTAATTTAGGTAACTTCAACCATAACGACATTCGTAGCAGTTTGCTATCCAAGTTAAAAAAAAATTCAGTGAAAAAAAGAAATGAATTTCTATTAAAGCATGTTAACATAATCATGCACAACTGCAATTTACTTCCTCACACTAAAAGAAAAGGATGAACCATTTGTAATACTTCCTTGGAATATTATCAGAACTGGGAAGAGGGGTATTTTTCATGCTCCAACATGGATAAGAGCATCTTTATTAGCATGAATGTACCAATTAATTGAAAAAATGAATACATTTCTGGCCCACCCAGTAGGTGCCAACTCCGTGTAAGGTAATAGTGTTTTCTGAAAACGTGTTGAAATCACACATGTCGACAGTCCGATTGTCGATTACCAACTAAATGTCGAATTCCTGAATGTCGAATGAATGTAACGGTGAAGGTCAAAATGTCTAATGAGAGAAACGTCGAAATGAACTTTTATTTTCTCTGTCGATGAAGTCACCTAAACGATATCACTCTGTCAAAGAAATCTTAAAAAACACAAGTAATGCCGAATGTTGGAAAAGTCGAACCGCGCTTGGTCCATGGTCAAGAAAAGTATGATGCACTTTCTTGGGTTCTTCAATCAGTTCATCGTTAAGTGGCGCTATGGCTCCTGCATGGCAACTGCACTTCTTGCACTACCAATGCCCTTCTTCCTTCGTGCATTTTTCACGAGTGAATCCACGAGTCCATGTCCAACCATCATTCTAGTACCCTTCTGGGAATGACCGTATTGCATGTGGGTCATGGCTACGACACCAATTCGACTGGCAGATTATTGCGGAAGTGCACTCGTTACTGATGTCATCAACATCATCAATGCAGACTGATTCAGACAGGTGAGAGGCTGACAAGACAGTCTTCGCTGCCTCAAGGGCTAAGAAAATTTCTGCTCTCCTTGATTGTGTGAAGATCCAAGGAACAGAATAGACGGGAATGGATTTCTACATCTCGAAGATTGCAGCTAGCCAGCTGCCGGCGGTCAACTCACAATCGCACACTATTGATACATGGCTGTTCATAGAAAAGATGTAAGATCTCGGTTGATGGTGACCCGAGTCCCACAATATTTGCAAGAAGTGGGTGCCAGTGATATCCACTGAAGGTATTCAAAAGTATACAGGGTGACACAAAAGTTCTGTACGCTCGGTTATCTCAACTTTTTATAACCATTTTTAAAGAACTCACAAATGGGGACAACGCTATTAGAAACTACAACCATTTCAACAGATAATGCCCGCAAATTCATTCAAAATGACCACCTTTTGCTGTAACACAATCGCGAAGTCTCTTTCCGAATGCATCGACTGCGGCACGCAGGGTTTCCTGGGGGATTTTGATCCATTCCGTTTGAAGGGCACGCTTCAGGGATTCGAAAGATGCATGGGGAGTAGCACAGGCTTTGCTCTCCAAGATGCTCCACACGCAAAAGTCCAATGGGTTCAGGTCTGGACTATAAGGAGGCCATTCTGCCGAGGTGATGAAGTCAGGGAATTCTTTTCTGCAGAAGGCCTGAGTGATTTTTGCCTTGTGGGCTGGCGCAGAGTCCTGTTGGAAAGTCCATTTGCGGTTTCCGAAGTGCTTTTTGGCCCAGGGCATTACAGTATCCTCCAGGATAAGGTCACGATAGGCAATCGCGTCGATCTTCATGCCAGACGGCACAAAAACCAGGGGCGTGNTTCCCACTTCCTGTCTCCGATCCAACAAGTTTGTTTTCTTTTTTCCTTCCCGTCTTTCAAATAATAAGTCCCAGCATTTCAAGAATTTGATCGTGAATAAGAAATTGCTCGAGAACAGTTTTTTAAAGTGTACAGAACTTTTGTGTCACCCTGTAGAATATTTAAATTACCGCTCAACTGCTTAGTTATAAATATGCACTTTGCAATCCTACGCTGAGTTGTTATATATATTTTTATTATAGATGCACATGGGTTTGTGATACTTACTTATAAAGATAAGTTCCCTTGGATTGGTTCATTATGTAGTGGACCAATTTCTTGTATAATTATCACAAGGAGTGAGAAACGTCTGTGCTTAAGTCAACTTAAGCATAGCAGCTAAGGGGTTAAAAATGACCACCTTGTTTAGGTCATTATCGTCCACTACATGAATTAATGTTCCGATCAAGAATTGCGGATCCAATCCAATAGAGTACTATTTCAATCCAATACACGTGAAAATGTCTGAGGGTTGGCAGAACAGAGTGAAAGCACCCCATTAGGTATGAATGATGCATCTGATGACGATGCACCAAGAGAAGCTTACTTTTGGAAAGAAAAAAAATAAGAGCTCACAAATGGTGAACTTAAGTGTTATTTCCCACAATCTAGGGATATTTTGAACTCAAGGCATCAGCCCAATGGACTGCTTTATGACATGGATAAGGCAATGCTCAATTAAATGAGAAGTCTCTATTGCCTGAATTTTTCAATTTAGTAGGCCATCCTGAGTGGATTTTTTTTATAGAGAGGCTTTTCATGGCTTCTCAATGCATCTTCAGACACCCTGCATTCTGAATCAAATCTATACAAACATTTTACATTAAGATTATACAGGGTGTTTATAAATCCCTATCTATTTTGATGAAACACGATGAATTTCATGTAAATTTCAAGTTTACAGGTATGATTTTCACAAAATTTTCAATTTGGCCACAAATACAGGATGGGTAATCAGTTTTTTTCATATGTTAACCCCCCCCATTAGGGTGGATAATCAAGTGTTTCAGATGGCAACCACCCCTCCCATTTGAATTTCCTGGGCACACTGCTGTGATTTACTGAATCTAATAATGAAAACTGGGTATAAATCAATGCCAAGATAATTTATTGAAACATCATGGAAAAAGCCCATAAACTTCAGGAAAGCCTTAGAAAGAGGAGACAATAAGTTACCTAAGCCTCAAGGATACAAAAAGAAAAAATGGTGCAAGATTTGTGAATGGCAGTTTACAGTATTTTAATATTACAATGAGACAATTTGTGGAGGGCATAGCAGGATGATAAAGCTCATAAAGAGTTGCTGGGTGAACAAGCTTGCCGTACAGCCATTTCCCATGCATCCAAAACTTCACTGAGGGAATGGCATTGAGGCAAGCGAAGAAGCCGTTCTTCCAGTGCTATCTTCACACGACGCAGCAGTGGAGTACTGTCTGAAAAGGAAGAACAACACCTTCATGACTACTGCATTTGGACAGTAGATATTGAGCCAAACCACTTCAAAGATGAGAAAGAGCATGACAGACTCCTTAACTTACTGTACTCAGGTGGGAATGAAAGACAGATGGGAGGATGAGTAGGGTAGTCCTTTGGAATTGCAATGCGTAACATAGGCATGCATGGGAGGAGACGCTCCTCCAAACTGCACCTCAGCACATTTGTGCGACCACTCTCCAAATGCACCTATACACAGAGAAGATTGATAATGATAGAGAGGATAGAGCATGATGATACTGACCTTATTCCCATTAGTACTTTAGGGTGGATTTTTGAACAGAGAACTATCCGATAATGCAGCTTTATTTCTGAGAAAATGCATTATAAATCCGGTAAATAAAGCAGCATTATCGGAGAGTACTCTGTTCAAAAATCCACCCTTAGTCTTTAGTCCATAAAAATAATTCTATTAGCAGTGCTGCAGTGTTTATTTAAAATACTCTCTATAAGTACTTTAGGGTGGATTTTTGAACAGAGAACTATCCGATAATGCAGCTTTATTTCTGAGAAAATGCATTATAAATCCGGTAAATAAAGCAGCATTATCGGATAGTACTCTGTTCAAAAATCCACCCTTAGTCTTTAGTCCATAAAAATAATTCTATTAGCAGTGCTGCAGTGTTTATTTAAAATACTCTCTATGAGCCTTCAGATCTTGTCCTAATGCTTAACATGATTTTTTACAGCACTGTTGTAAAAGACTGACATCTGGTGACATCACATTCTCACTGCCTCTACCACATCATCTTCTGAGTGGTACCACATGCCACAATTCTGGTCAAGAAGCTGTCCTCTTCAGCATGGTTGCACTGCAGATGTGTTAGACAAAGACAAAGCAATAACAGGAGAGCACCTATGGTAAGCCTATGGGGAAGATTTGTTCTCAGGAAAGAGTTGGCGGTAAACAAGAGTGGCGGTATATTGAGGGTTGACTGTACTCAATTTTGGGGCAAACATGTCTCACCAAATGGCAACCATTCTGTGTGGGTCATTAAGTGGTTTCACACCTTCTGCACATAAACTGCAGAAACTGTTTCAGAGCTCTCTGATGTTCATTGGATGCCCTTTCAATAGAAGCAGCCATCATCACCAGATTACAGCACATGTCATCTGCAAATAGTGGTGCTCATTTCATTTTCAGCACTACACCAGTATACCTAAGGTTTTTGGTGAGTTTTGCTGTTTCCAGTTGACTGACCCTAGTATTTAGTAGTAATGATTTCAGAGCTTAGATTTCACTTTCAGCTGAACATGAAGTCTCAAAATTAATGCAGAGATATTTGAATATGAAATTGCATGCCCTAAAACGACATAATTTGCAAGATCTATAGATGTGCATCATCAAGAAGTGTTCAGTCAGCCTGCAATCATCAGACTGCATCATGCATGCTTGGCTGAAATAATGGGCAATGTGCATGGAGAAGGGGGCTGCATAGGTGGAAACTCAAGTTACTCTGGAAATCTCCTTTATCTCATGAAATCTGCAATGGCAGGTCATTTGAAAATTTAAAGACTTTTCGATGTGTTTGGAATGAAATCAACATCGAACAGCTGGCAACCATCATTTGCAACTTTCCAAAGCAACTCCAAGCATGCATCAAGGAGACTGGTGCCAATTTTGAGCACATGCTTAGAATTTGATTCGTTTATCTTTTTTCATGCTGTTCTATGCACATAATCATTCAACTAACAAGCCGAGGTTAGGGTTTTATCAAAACTTTAACTCTATAAAAAAAAAAGAAAGAAAGAAGTGTAAGAGAAAGAGAAGAAAGTGTACAAGAACTTTTGCACAACCCTGTACACGGTGTTGTTCAATGCAAAGTTATGGCATTTTCTTTGCAAATAAATATGAACCTAGTATCACAAAACAATGGTTAAATACTCAGCATGCAGAACAATTTATGGAGTTTAGGTTTGGTAATTTTCTGCAGATCATGAGCAATTCAGCATGAATGCTTTTCTTTTTAGATCAGTTTCCTGAACTGGTAAGTGGGATTTTCTACTATGAACCACCTTGTCAAAATTCACCTCAAGACATAGGTTTTCAAGAACATCATGAAATTCATGACTTTGAGGCTTCTCAAAGAAATTACAGTCCTTCACAAACCCCCATTGTAAGTAATCACTGAAAATGGCTGATTCAAATAGTTTCAGCCATCATTGGCTTGATAGTTTGCTCTCATTTGACCCATTGCTTCCTCTCCCCTCCAAGAAACAGTTTGTGAATGTTGTCATACTTCTGTGTCTCCTATCATTCATGTTATGTACCTCCCATGTTATTCTCATCAACACAATACCAGGAGAGAACTTGCCTTAATTTTTTGTTAATGATCTTCCCAATTGACATAATATGGTGCTGTCATTATTCTTGGCAGACTTTATTCCTGTAGACACTATTCCTGTAAAATGTACTCCTTACTGATATTTTTCTGATGTCAAAGCAGTTCAGTGCCTAAATAATTTCTCTTAATGCTATTCTATTGCTACATGATGCACAGCTACAAAGTGAAAAAGTTATCAGCCTACTTGAAAATGAAGTGGATCCATGCGTGCAATCTCTCCCTGCAGAATATCCGAGATACCATCTTCTGCATTCTCTTCTTCACCCAATCTCTTGCATTTTCGTTTGGGTGGCGGACTGGGAAACCTAGGGAAACACAAGTATCAATTATATTATGGAAAGGAGAGGTAAGGACGTTTGGAGTAGGCATGCATTACATCCCTTTATAGTACTAACCAGTGCTACATGTCATCAGCAAAGTAAGGATTATGAAATACATTGCCAAATCACCCTTGTCTTGCATGGTCAGTCATATTCCATTGCTTCAACTGAGAGATTTTGAGCATTATGGTAAAGTACAGTATGGTCCAAAATAAAAGTTACTTGAAGTATCTAAGAAGTCCCCATTTGGTTCATTCAAGGTTTTAGCTATTTCATGTTTTACTTTAACAGAACTGTATGCTTCATACATAGACTATTGTTCTTAATATTTCAAATAGCCTCCTATTGAGAATTCAAGCATCTGATTGAAAACCCCAACCTATCAATTCACATCAACCTGGCTGCCACACCAGAGATATAATGTGTGAAGTCCAGAAAGCCTTTCTGGACGATCACCCGCAGTGAAGAAGCCCTTCATTATAGCACCAATGACACCTGGTCACTATTGTGGCACTAAATGGAAGCTGTAAACAATTTCTTAATACAAGATACAACCACTGAACAACCTGTTTTCAATCTCCTGTGGCGGTTATGGTCATCTATCAACTGCATCTGAATTGGGTTTGGTGGATGTGGTCACTTGATGCACAAATGGAAAATAAAAAATTCTCCTGCATGCATTTGTGAAAGCACTGATCAAACCATGGAACAAGTCAATGTCCAATATACAAGTTCAACAGTGGAATCTCTGAACTACACTCAGCTTTGGATTCTGCTATTTAATGGTTATCCAACCTCAACCTAAATTTGTAAATTGTTGCTCCTCAGCCATACAAAAGAGAAGAAGAATATTTCCAGGTTATAAAATTGACAGATTCAGACAGATGGTTTGTTCAAAGGGTTCAGGACAATGTCATGAACCATACAACTACAAATGTTTAGCACAATTCCTAAATTTCCTTCCATAGAGACTATATGAGGTCTGACAGAATTCCATTTTTTTATTTGACAACTCTACTTATGGTCCTAAACTTCAGCACCAACTGCAGCAAGGACTCCAAGGGAGGATTTTCATGGAACTCATTTTGGAATATGGTGAACTCAGCTGTTATGAACAGTTCACTGTTTCTACCTTCATCATAACTTCTAAATAACGCTCATTGAGGCAAATTCTTTCTTTCAGTGTTCACTGGTACATATTTCTTCTACATTACTTGTAATAAACAAAAACAACATATTACAGTCAACCACTTGATCCTTTATTACACATATTCAATTCGTGGGTAATCATATGAGGTGTGACCTACCGTATGGCCTGTGACCTACCACAGCTCTTTGGGTATGAGGTGTGACCTACCATGTGGGGTGGTATCTTACACTTTACTGCAATGACAACATTGCATGATGACCTGACAGGCATATTGGGAGGTTTATTGAGGCTTGGTGGCATGGTCTCAACCCCACTAACAACAGGTTCGAGGTATTCATTAGGGATATCAAGTCTATGTTCACTGATTAATGTGAAACCTGATGATAGTCAAATGATGAAGTTTGCAGGCCTAAGTAGCTTTGGAAAATAAAATCGTGTTAAAAAAGGGTGTATTTTATATCATGCAAACTGTGTAAGTCACAGTCAATTTCCAATGTGCTGTGGTAGGTCACAGACCATAGGTAGGTCACACCTCATACCTGACACCACACGGTAGGTCACACCTCATATGATTACCAATTCGTGTTAAATTTTATCCCCCTGATTGAATAAGTGCAATTGCAAGGACCTTTTCAAGATGAAGTGCTGTGGATTCTTACAGTTTTCAATGTGATTGGATGAAAATGCCATGATCTTAGGCTAATAGTCCAGCAATGGTGTGTGCAAATTTACATTATTACATCAGTTGCAGAACAGATTTACAAATTATTTGTAAAAATTCACACTCTGAATGACATTAAAACAGTAATCATAAAGTAAAGATGATGATATATCATACTTGATTTCTGGTCCAAACATAGCCTCCAGTGTAGGAAGGAATGTCCTCTGTAGAGAGTGGTTCATCAGTGGTGATTTGAGGTGTTGATTCAAAGCATCCATGAGAGGCTGAAAGATTCCCCCATGTCCCTCTGATGTCTAAAACAATAGGCAAAATTGAGAATTGCCAGGTCATTCCATTCTAATGCAGATATACTATTCCTTATAAGTGGGAAATTCAGAGCCTAGTCCACCAAAATCCCTTCTTTAACACATGGACCGCCACGACCATATTGGTCTGGTGACTTTCCTAGGTCAAAGTCATTTTTATACCCATAGGAGAAGGTGAAGCATGGGGCACACCAATGCACCTCATGAGGCAGGAAAAGGGACTTATGGAGGTGCACTGATGCACCTCATGGCAGTCAATGAGTTAAATGAACTTTGATAAATAGTTGTGCTCAGCAAATGAACTAACAAGAATAAGTCTGCATGCTGAGTTTGATATTTGCACAATTCATGAAAGTCAGCTAGTCTGGTGGTAAAATTCAGTGAGTTATAACACAAAACCACAAGGATCAAGATTTAGTACTATTACTCATTGAAAAGACCAAGGTGGGACAGGATGACACAAAAACACTCCTTGAAATTTGAGCAAGTAATTCTCTCAGGGGATCCATAACTGCCACCATTAAGGAGTGTAAAATGGAATGGGGCAAGGCAATAATAACAAGACTTTCTGTGAGTGATGTCCTCTAATCACACTGCTACTACAGTGTTCTATCAATGCTGCCAATGAGATATTCCCACCAAATCCTGAAGAAAATGAAGAACTTTCAAGAGGCTGTTGGGGAGGAAAGACCTTGAGGGATATTGAGAAATGACATCCTTTTTATTACAGTATCACTGCTGGCAAATAGCATATTTAAAAGAAAAATCTAGCATATTTCAATGATACCCTTGTTTCACAATTGGCAACCACTCCACTTTATCAATACACCAAGATTCCAGTACCTGCTAATGCGAAGGGACTGACTGCAGTTATAGCGAAGTGAGACTATATTTCCCACAAAGTAAAAACCAGAAGACTCAAAGTAGGTCTTAGATACAATCTGGGATGAAACCTAGTTGAGTTCAACTTCCATTCCAGCTACTACTTATCCTTTTTAATTGGTTTTACTTAATGACAAAATGTCTCTTCTTGTCCTGCCACACCAGAAGACAATTACCCTTTGTCAGCAGAAGTGGAACCTCACAGATAAAATGATTTTGACCCATTAAAAATGTAATCTGAAGTAGGCTTTCCTTATTGAGGAGTTCTCTGGAAAGGCATGTATGGGCACATATGCCCTTTTTTTGCATCCATGCATGGCTCTCAGTGGCTTGTCATGGGATAGGGTGATCAGCAGGTGGTTAAGATGTGTATTCAGCAAAGGAGAAGCATATTTTCCTATGCTCTCACTATATGGCAGGCCAACTGCCATGTTGCTTGCTGAAAATTCTCTAGCAACTGCTTGAGAATTTCAATAAAGCTGCTTCTGTGAATATTCCAGCTCCTGCATCACTGAATGATTTTGGTGGAATAATTTCATCCTTTCAAGCTGAAAGTGAGAATGAGGAAGAAAGCAGAAAGGGGGAAAGGGGAAGAAAGAGTCCCAGTTATCCAAGGAAGGAGATGTAAGGAATGATGCAAGAAGTTGGCTATATCAATGAAACTGTTGATTCAGATGATGAATAAATATAAATGAATAATCACTGATGAATAATTGGTGAATGAAACTTGTCCTGAATATTCACATTTCTATTGCGATTCTTTGAGGTGGAGTTAACTTCAAATTTGTAGATGCATTAATTGGTAAATGATTATATTTTAACTAGGAAGAAGTAGTGAAAGATTGGTTGAAAAAAATTACAGCAGTGCAGATATGGAAAAAGGGCACATGTGCATAAACACTTTCTGCCTGCATCCCAATCAAGTGTAATTGGAAAACATCTAAGATACCAATTGACTAAAAACTTGAGTTTTGACCAGCTGCAGATTAGCTCTGAGAAGTTTTTGCCATTTACCTCAAATTGCATCTTTTACACATAAGCCTTTTTTCCAGCGAACTTCTCAATCCACAAAGTATAAAAGCCATAAACAGAAGTAAATAATCAGAAGAAAGATAATGTCATACTGGCTTCATGAAGTCCATTCTCTCCAGAACCTGCTCACACTTCAAAAGTGTTTCCATGGGCACACGTCGATCTGGATGCCTGAGGAGGTCAAGGAGCTTCTTCATTTTGCTAAGTTTATCATGATCTAGAAGCAGCACAAGGACACCCATTAACTCAGCTGTATCTGTATATCATTTTTTACATTACACAGAGAAGCCTACCTTCATCTCCAATCTTATCAATCATTCGTCTCAAGGGTTCTATGTATTTGCTAAGCTGCTGAATTTTTTCCAAGTAGAGCTCAGAGGCTTCATCACTTCCTGTTCGAGCCCCTGCAGATGCTGGAGCATTATAGGAGGCAGATGAGGAAGTTGGATAGCCTCCAGGAACAGAGGCAGGAGTGTTCACAGTGATTGGAGAAGATGAGTCATCCATCACCCCCCCTGCAGAACAACCAGGCAGGGAACATTTTTTTTTTAGGAACAAACTATTTTATTGTCAACTTCAAAGAATTGTGTTCACAGAAAGTCACCTCTCAGAGGATGTGGTGGATGATTGGAGGAAAGGACATGACTTGCTGGTGAAGGAGCAACCATAACTGGCATTCCACCACTCATGAGTCCTGGCTGGCCCCTGGAATCAAATATGGAATTACTATCCTAATACTGCAATCCAACATAGGCAATTGATCAGAAGGGAATTACTCCTCTAGGTGTTGGCAAAGAAAAAAGGTGAAAAAAAAGCAATAATAAAACAAACAAAAAATAAGCAGATAGCATGGAGAATCTATGAGGAGGCTTTGCACCAGACTATTCAAGCGACAAGAATGAGAAATACCATGTTGGTTAAGGTAGCAGACCTACTTTAGAATAGTCATTTTCGATTAAAAGAAAAAGTTTCTTCGAAAATCGGATAAATCATACTTCAACTTGTGCAGATTCATAATATGAATGAGAATTGAGATAAAAAGATGAAAATATAAAAATAATGATTAATTAGCTTAATTTGTTATCAATGTCCCTAACCTGTTGTCCCTGGCAACTGCATTGGTTGCAATTTTCTCATTACAGCTTTTTTTAGCTGACAGACACTGCTCTGAACAGCATAACTTTTTGTGTAATACACCCATATCCTTCATTTTTGGCTGTGAGCTACCTTGAATATTCCTCAAAGGAATGATGGTAGCTTTTTTTTGTTTACTCAATCCTTCAGCACTTTTTAGCACCATTGAATATGTAATTAGGTCAGAAAAATAGCTAAAAATTGAAAAAAACAATTGTTTTTAAAATTCACCAATTTCTTGAAAAACTGTTTCCCTCGGGACATTTGTATGAATTCGAACTACAACACTTGTCAATTCCATCAAATATATGTGAACTATCCATGAGAAATACTGTTTGAAAAAAAGTTCATTTTTTGCACTCTGGTGGCCATATTGGGCCTCATTAGCTTAAAATATGCAAATTATATGAATGAATGCAATATTTGCCAATTCAACTTTCATATAGTCTGTTTGGTTTCTAGGAAGGAATAAAGATGGAAAAACTTGCCTGTAGGTCTGCTACCTTGAAGGCCTACCCCTTCCCCCCAGGACAATTCCACTCATCCTATTAACCCCCCTAAGTGTGACTTACCTGAAAACCAGCAATGGTTCTGAGTGGCATATGCCATTGAACACATAGGGGGTGTTAAATAAAGTTTTCCAATAAATAAACCTTTGGGGTTGGTGGCCTTCATCACCACTGTGTTACGAGGAATGAAACACTCACATGTGGCTGGAAGGGCTGGATTGAAGAGAAGCTACATCAGATGTGGGAGAAGGAAGAATGCTTGAATATCCTGGCCCAGCTGCAGACATCATTGGTCCATCAGGCTGAAACATGAAAATATATACAGATGAATAAGAAAAATACTTCTAGTCATAGGTAACTCCTAAGACTCCAAGATAATAATTCCAACATCAGAGCTTTCACACAAAGAAATCAGCAAAGGAACCATAACACACTTTAGTTCCAGGTTGCAGATGCCTGGTGAGTGGGGAGGGGCCAGGACCTCCAGGCATTCTCAATGGAATTCTTGCACCTGGTCCTACATTGAGACTCATTCCTCGAGGACCCATGCCTGCACCTCCAGGACCCACTTAGAAGAAAAGAGTGAATAATTCTTTTTTGAATTTGAGGCTTTCCTGCTATATTTTCAACTGCTTATAATGTGGTTCAAGGTTTCATTCAAAATTGTCAGATGAAATCACAAAGAATAAAGTCTTACAAGGGCCCCTATTACCCATGGGGATTGGGTGTCCCTGAACAGGTCCCTGCATCCCCTGGTGATAACCACGAATCCCTTGTTGGCGAGGAGGCTGACTCAGCTGGTTTTGCAGGTGAGTGTTCATTCCCAATGTCATTTGATTTGGCTGGCTCAGCTGTGCAGCCAATTGACTCATTTGCTACAAAGACACAAGCAATGTGTAAGGTACAAGGCCAAGAAGAATCCCATGGAAACATTTAGTTCAGTAGCAGGAAACTGTCAACCTGTGAGGGAGGACCGCTGAGCTGATTTTGCAACATGGAAGTAGGGGGTTGTGCAGCTCGATGCATAACATCTGCATTCTGAGTTCCAGCATTGCTGGAAGCAGACCCTCCACTCAATGCAGCAGCAAGCTGCGGATTTGTAGAACCTGGAACAAAAACCAGTGCATTTCCATGAAGCAAACAAAGAATCAAAGTCAACAATGTTTGAAAGATATCAATGTGATTTGCTATTGAAGAAAGTTTAAAATTTAAGCACAGGCAACAGTCACCTTTATCAACATGGAAAATATTTTAAATCACTTTATCAATGGTGACTAAACTATAATCTATAAATCAGACCAGGCCAGCAGCAGATTTTCCTCATCTAGCCATTGAAATCACATAAAAGTGGTTGGAAGATGACTCCCTATTGTAAAATTGTAATAATTTTTGTACTTTTTGAACTGGAACAATGGTTTTGTGCCAAAAAGAAAGAGAATTCAATGAAGTTTTATGATTTCATTGATTTGTTTGCTTGCATTGACCCTATCTTGTGCCAAAATGGAATCTTTCACACCATGCACAAAGAGCTACACAGTATGAGATATGGAAATGGAAAAGGTAAGAAATTACATGAAAGGCATTCTCCTTCCACTACCAGCAGTATGACATGTGGAGGTCCTCTGTTATGGTCCTGAGGTATTGGTGGAAGGAGAATGCTTTGGATGCAGCATCCTATCTCTTCTGCCTCCACACCTCATACCATGCAGCTATTTGTGCATGGTGCTGAATATTCAATTATGTCCATTCCATCCACCCTGTATAGGGTGGGGTTTATACTAGGGGTGTCTGATAAGTTTCTGCAAACATCTAATAAAAACGAAAGGATTGTTTTCATTGCTACAAAAATCAGTACACAGAAATATCAAACCACCTTTAGCTCTCAAAATAAACACCGTTTGAATCTCTGCACTTCTGCCATCTGGAGGACAACGATTGAATAGATTGATTAATTTGTGTCGTTTTAGTTTTAAGATAAACCAAACACATTGGAGCTGACTTTTGGTATGGAATAGATCCTAAAAAAAGCAGGACTTGAGAGTCCTGCTTTTAGGATCTATTCCATACCAACTTCCCCTTGGGGAAGACAAAGACTTCCCTTTGGAGTCAGATGTGTCATCTTGAGCAAAAATGGGGGATTGGACCATCACAGGCAGAGGCACAAAAATCATAGCAAGTGATCACAGACCACCTTGACATCAAATGTTGATGCACAATGCTGCTATTTACGACACTCATGACCAACATCATCTCAGGATAATAGTGTGGATGGGGCAATGGGTTTAGGCCTATTGGAATCTTAGAATGAGGTTTTTTCATCTGAAACAAGACTTGTGTTCTTGTAACAGTGTGATATTAGCCCATTAGCTCCAAGTTCTTTTTCTGTTGAAGTTCTGAAACCTTCATTGGATTGTTAATACACTGAGACTAGGACGATCAGTAATACATAAACAAAAATGTTGGCATTTATGGCAGAGCCAAAACAAGGTGTCCTATGAATAGGATGCTGGGACTTTTCAGGGGGAGAAATTTTATTACAAATTGCAATAAAATATTTTAGAATTTGCAGTCCTGTAAATAGGATGATAGATTAATTTTTTCAACACTTATTCATGTGCTCTTCCATACCTGTGGTACTACCAGCCATGTTGTCATTTCATAACAAATTTTTGCATCAATGCATATATGTTACTCACTCATCTTGTTCATTTCTGTCATGTGCAAGATGACCCGAGCAACTAGTCGTAGGTAGTCGTCTTTATTCTTGGCCTTCTTGAACAACTGGCTTTCAATCTCTTGACTGTTTTTTGTTGAGCCTGATGTCCGGATCACGTCATCTCTGTCAAGGAGTATGGAGAAACAAATGAGAGTATGGACTAAGGAAATCACAGAAATAAAGAACAATAATAATCACATCTGTCAATTAAAAATGTAATTCAATATTCCCTCTGATGTATCTTATTGCATTGATAATTTCTTATCACTGTTCTGAAGCCTTTGTAATGACATGAACTCTTGGAGCAAATCACCCACTCAGTTAAATTTGAACTTCCCACTTGAGAAAAGGAAGCCATGATGATAGGCTTGTTCCAGATAAGGTAATTTTTTTATTGAGTCCTATTTCAATCAAGTTTTTTTTAATTTTCTTGGCCTTTCCTGAATTTGAGGCTATTCTGTAGCATATTTTGCAGGGATGTAGAGTGGACAGCAAACAGAATTCCAGACTGTGCATTATATACATTAATGCAACTTGTTATCCAGTCTAACAATCCCACCCATCCAAACCTAACCTTCTCAATCCCCTGTGAGGAGATACAATCTGTTATGAATGACTGATTACTGCAGGGATTCATTGCTCAGGTTTTGGGCTACACCACTGGGTTTTCCCATTCATTTTTACCCCATTTGTAGCAGTGCTCAACTGTAGTCAAACTGCATTCATATACCTTTCACAATGCCATTTGATTCTATTCCACCATCCCAGAAAATGAAAGCAAATCAAAATCCATTTTAAGAAGCGAAAATCATGGCTCAATGAAATAAAGTAGTATAAAATTGTTAAAGTAAATTTAGTTTTTCTTTTACCCAATACACTTATAAAAGGATTTTTTCTGTGGGAAAAAAAAGTGCTGAAAAATAGTTAAGATCTGTGGATTTTTCAAAATATTAGCAGTTCTCTGAGGAGCAATTTGTAAACTAATGCTATGATGTTACATGACCAGTTGGTTGTCAGTCAAAGGTTGATTGTTGCTCACCAGATTTCATTCAGTCATGATATATTGAATGCAAGAATTTCACAGAAGCATGAAATGTACTTACATTTGGGAGAGGACCTTCTGACGACAGCTAGGCGTTCTCCAGGAATCATCATTATCTGCCATACCCTTGGCTTTTCAATTGATCCATTCAGTCATGACGGTGCATTTCTTTGATAAGAGGTAGCACATCACTGGTAATCCATACAGCATTAGACAGAGACTGTCAGCGGATATTGCAGCAGCAAAACAAAATAAGCGGAACAACTCTTTCTGATACCTAGAAGAAAGTTCCATTGACTTATGAAACAAATGAGAATTACCAAATATTGGTACAATTTTATAGACTCACCAGCTGCTACCCAGTCATATGACCAGACATGAAATGGCTTTATCCTCCAACCTGAGGGCTTGGTTCTATTCTATCTCAATCAACCAGTCTTTTTTTAAATACATTTTCTACTCTTATCTAGGCAATGACACTCAGTGTTAAGAAGTTAATAAATAATAAAATGAAGATTTTAGGTGTGAACCCCCCCCCCCCAATAGGCATATATACCTTGGGCAGTTTGTCAATAACTACAGTTCACTCTGTCAATAATTTTTTGCTAAATTGGTGCAAGAACCACAGGAGTGGTGTTTCCACCTGTTCCCATTTATAATCTTCCCATCAAATTTACAAATGGTCATAACTTTTGAGTTAAGATATCCTGACATAAGAACTACATAATTAGTTTCATTTTAAAGAAAAAAAAGGATAATCTACACAACATCTATTCTTGCTCTTGCCTGCATACATCCACATCAGTGCCTGAAAGCATGGAGTAAAATATGACATGTTACCAGAAAAAAGACATACAGGTTCATAAATATGTCTTTACTCCAGAATTCAAGCTAATCCCCTTTCCCATCAAAGTCCCATCCTACTGCATCCTCACTTAAGACCCAAGTTACCATTGGGGAACTCAATTTGGTGCTCACAGTTACACTTAGAGATACTGAATCTGGGTTTGGCCTTTACTACTGTGGTTATTTAATACTCCACATCTTGAGATAGAAGTGCCAAGTACTTGAGTATTTCCTCCAAGATGTTTATAAATATTAAAAACCTATTTCCTATTGGGAAAAATGTGTTACTATGGGTTCATTAAGGCAAACTTTAACCTGCCAATCAATTGGTCATGTCAGCTCTCCTCTATTGGGATGGGCTCAAGAATATCCCTTCCTGAACACTGGAGTCATTACACAGAAGAAAAGTTATCCATCTCTGTTGGTAACTAATCTGGGTCCCCCTCCACATGAGCCAATCATACTACCAAGCCATTGACTTACTCTGACCTTTGTGACCATACATCAGTCAGAGCTCCATGAGTTTTAGTTACAATGCAATGAAAATGAAATGTTCAGCTTCCCAAGGGTTCTTTTTTTATCCTTCCTTCATCATTATTTGGTTGAAATAAACAATTGAACTAATACATGACATGAGATGAAAAAATTATTTCAATTCAATTCTATTCAGTGTCCTAAAATCTTAGTTGCCTGAATACATCTATACATAGGCAGGGGAACAGCATAGTAACTGTTCCAAGGTCAGGTACCATAGTAGCACCTACCTCCTATCCCAAGAAAATAAAGATGGTTCAATTTAAGAGTCTGTTCGACTTCATAATCAGATGAAAGACATGCTTTTCATGAATCAAGAGGAACTCATCATTATAGAGAATAGGTTGTATTACATATATACCCATATGGAAAGATCATTTATGGCTGTTATATGTGACATTAATATTTATAGCTGAATCTCAATATAAAAAACTAAAAGGGACAGGCTAAACAATGTTGTTATAAGGAAAATTCATTATAGGCATTTCCTCTTACTTTGCTGAAGAAAAAGAGATATGTAAACTTATGTCATTATCACTTCAAAATGTCATTTATTGCAAAAAGAGTAGTGGTCCATTGATGAGAAAATGTGATGGGCTGAGTGCAGATCATATTGCAAAACTACAGCATCCAAGATGTACGTAGGTACCCAAATGGGTACATACAGAAGTATGTACTCATACTAAGTAGTTGTAATGAAAATCAGACATGCTGTCAATGCCAGAAACAGTCCCAAATGGTTGCTTGCCAGGCTCCTTCCTGGACAATTCTTTGAGCTGTGGTCTGCCAGGCACACAATGCTTTAAAAATTCCAGGTTCAACTTTCAGTCATCGCCTTGACCGAGAAACAGCTGAAGATAGTCTAAGGCAGTGGTTCTCAACTTTCCTTTTACTCCCATTGAACCTTCATGCATTCGGGGGGGTGACACCTCCCAGGTTGAGAACCACTGGTCTAAGGCTTTGATTGCTGAAGGTTTGAGATGAGATTTTCCAGGAATGCACAAAAGAAAGTACAGTCGATGCTCGATATAATGAACTTGAAGGAACAGGCTAAAAAAAATTGTTATGAGGAAAATTTGTTTCATAAAGGTTTGTTACATCGAGCATCAACTGTAGCTCTATGTGTGCAGCAGATTTAAACTCTGTAATATGGAACAGTTTTGTACCTTCAGAAAAAGAAAGACTCTTTAAAGCCAAATAATGCATGAGAAAGGTGCATTTTATTACTTTATTTTGAATGACTGTTGCTTTATATTCAGACAACCTAGAAACACGAAACTTTTAGGAAACAAATTTTATAGCATTTCCTATGTGATATTAAAAAATCATGAACCTAGATGATTCACAACAGGTTTTCTAAGGTGTCAAAGAGGATGTGTTTTTTTATTTGCACCATATGCCCCATTTGGCTTTGTATAGCTACATCAAATGTTCAAACTAAGTACTGTTAAGGGTTTGACAAATGAGAACATGGTGATGAAAGCTGTCATGTATACAGGCAAGGGTCTCTCCAGTGATAGTAGCATAGGCTGGGCTAATGTTGTCTTTCAAATGGTCAATGTTGTGGACTCAGAAAATAAATCCATATGAGGTATGACTTTCAGACCACCTGGCATATTTAATGCCTATTTCTCATAAAATCATGCATGACTTTTCCATATGGGTATCCTCTTTCATTGATAAACTTTATTTTAATGATTTGACATTGCTAAGCATTTTCACAGCAGGTTTAAATCAGAAGCAAATAAGTAGCAATGTCAAATTCAATGGAATGTTTTGTGAGAACCATTAGGATCACAACAATTAGTAAGCTGACAGATTTCTTGACTAAGTGCTCCTCTTCCTTAATCTCCAGCTCCATATAAGGGAGCAATCTCTGAAAGAATAAAAAGGGAGAATCTTTCAGACAAGACTGTCAGCAACTTTCTAAAGTCTCTTGCTGGGCAGTTAAAGACTAAAAGTACAAGATGTATTCTCAATTATGAGTCTGGTGCATGATTAGATATACATTTTACAGGCATGTCACATTATCTTCATGCCTGCAACTTGAATCAAAGTTTAAAAAAAGCTACTCAATTTGCAAGACACAATGACTTATTCTTGAGATCTAGAACATCCTTTTCACATTTTAGCCTCACAAGAAGCAGAATGATTAAGCAAAATTCATGAAGAATCCTCTAATACCAATTAGAAGAAACTGCAAATGGAATCTTGGATCTCACTAAAGTGCAATCACATCCTCAATTCCAAGCAAACAAATCAGATACTATCAAGACACGAAACCACAATTTCAAAAATGAAAGCAAACAGAAAAGAAGCAATTTGAAAACAATATTTTAAAGAATTAAAAAATCACCTGATTCTGATTTTATTTCCTAGCTGCTTACTCCAAACATGTCAATCAATGGGAGTTGAATGCATGACTAGAGAAGAAAGGAGCTCTTCGCACAATGGAAACACAAGGTGTCCCTCAAAAGTACAAGGGCTTTTTTCCTTATGTATTTGGAATTTTTGGGCTAGAGCAATTAGTTTAAAACAATAAACACCTTAACATTCCTACCTTGAAACTTGACAGTCAAAGGATTTTCATACTGTTCAATGCCAAAAGGACTCTTATCCCCAAAAAGCCCTTGCCATGTCCTCAGATCATGAATCTGCAACAGAATTTCAACTCATGGTTGTTTTAAAAGAATATGCCAACTCTGGCAGCACCGTGTCTGCATAAGCAGTTGCATATC